AGGTGGGTAATGTGATCAGCATTACGCTGGCCGTCTTTACTTCCCAGGACACACATCCTGGTACCCATTTTAGGCTGAGTCGACCTGCGACGCCCTATACAATGATTAAAATCCACGCAACAAGTAGTTGGTTTCAATAGCGGTACCTTGGAATTGCGAGTCGGACTCCCAACACCTTAGCCAGGGATACAGCTGCTGCAAACAATACATTGCATAAATCATTGTGTGGACTAACAAGATGAAAAGAAAACATCAGAGAAACTCTACAACAGCACTATGTGTCTATGATAGAGGTGGTCGGAGGAAAACCACACAGAACTGTGTATCTCCGTCAACACCCGAAGTAATAAAAATGAAAATAAAAAGCATATAAGGAAGAAGAAGAAGCAAATTTCCAAATGTTTATCCTTCTCCTTCTTCTTCTTCTTCTTCACCGGGTGTACACTCTGGCGGAAAGTTCTGGTTGCTCGTCCACTACTGAACTGCAGTCCTGCTCAAGAACATGAGTGTTGCGTGTGCTTCAGTTTTACAGATCTTATTCTCTTGAATACAGACTGTTGGTTCCTTGCCTCTCCGGCAGATGCACTCCGACTTCAAAGGAAGCTTCCCAATTAGTCGACTCTTACGACATGCTTTTGGGGAGGCAGTGGGTCTATTCTTGTTTTCCCCACAATGGGTCCCCGGAACCCACACGGGGGTCTCCACTTCTTGATTTTGGTCTTGTTTTGGTACTTGTTTTGCCTGCACATCAGTTTGATAGATACGGCTTTTTGTATGTAGACTGTTGGTTTATGCCTCTTTTTTAGTGCACTCCAACTTGGAGAAAACATCGACAATATCTACTTTGTTCTGGCCTCTCACTTGGAAACCTGTTTGTATGATGACCACAGAGAAGTGTTGACATATTTTGTACCGTTCAAACCCTGGATCTTGTGCACTACACACGTGAGGTCCAGAATCGCTTTATTCCGCTGTCGCCCTTCGTTCTTCTTTTGTTCTCTACTCCTGGAATGCCTCGCTGCGTCAGGGCAGGAAGAGATCTCTGGAACGGGCTCTTTTGTTCGCTTTGTATAAAGTACTTTTCAGTGTCTCGGATATTTCTGCGGTCCATCTTCTGATTGGTTTACGTCTGGCTCTGTTACCGTTGTATAACATTGCTCTCGGGGGTGCCGTGTCTGATGCCAGTCTTGTTACATGGCCAAACCATTTGATTTGTTGTCTACCTATAAAGTTCACTATTGGTTCCATACCGACTTTCCTCTTGTCACAACGTTTCCTAAGTCGATCTTTCCTCGTTACACGTTCTGTGGTTACTATTTTGCTTCTGTCTTCTGAAGATACTGTCGATGTTTGACATTGATAGCATATCGTTGTTAAGAATATTGTGTTGATCAGCGTTCTTTTAGTGTTCGTATTAACAAACTTGCATTTCAAAATTAGTGTAATTTTGCCGAAAACTTGATTGGCTTTTTTACATCTTTGCTGGATTTCTTTATTAATTCTTTCGTCTTCTGAAGAAAATGCTTTCCAGTTATGCTAATTTCTTCGTATATGCATGACATCTTTGGTGTCGAAAAGATATTATTATAAGTTCATATACGCAGCACGTGAAACGATACTTCCCTTTCGCCACAAAGAAACCCAAACGTCCTTTGTTTGTTTATTGTGATCGATTTTGTAAAGCTAACATAAACTATTTGTTATTTCTTACCAACTTTTTCTCTTCCCTATAATTTTCTACTCCTTTTAAAAACCCATGTTTATAATATCTTTCCGCGAACAAACATCCATATGTTATGATGCGTCCTGACAAGAAACATGTTTTTGTGTTCCATTATGTCAAGCAACCTAGATGATATTAATCCTTTTCTTATGTATAACATCCGTATAGCGTCTCACAAAATTCGTTTTCTCTCAGTGTCAGCTTATTTCAATACATACTTTAAACATGTGTCATATGTCTCCGTGCTGCTTGATCCTTTTTTTTCCATGTTATTTATTTTCATTAGAAAATATTTTTCTTTATTATCTGTCATTGCCTGTAATACGTTATCTGTCTGCAAAGTCATATAAGGATTGTGATCAACTGAAGCAGTTTCTAAGGGCTTTGTTAAAGCACTGTTAAGGACTCTTTTCCACGTCATTTGTCGAATTGTACATAAAATAAGAAGTAAAGAAACCTTTTCCACATAACGTATCATAACCCTTGACCCTTTAAGGTCGTGGAGGTGTATCGACTGAAGCACTAAAATTTAAAACCTGCCATGTTTCTATGTCGTTCGCTTGATGAATAAGTGTATGATAACTCGGTATTGTCCATTTCAAGATATAGTCTTAGCAACTTAGTCCTGTCCATTTCTAGATATAAGCTTAGCAACTTAGCCCTGCCCATTTCTACATGTAGGCTTAGCAACTTAGTCCTGTTCTGTCCTTTTCTAGATATAGGCTTAGCAACTTAGTCCTGTCCATTTCTAGATATAGTCTTAGCATGTTTTTCTTTTCCCTCTTTGTCTTCGTTTAACTGCCCCCCACCCCCCCCCCCCCTCACACACCTCCCTCCCCACACCCCCCAACTCATATTTTTCTTGAAAAATAGTCTTTGCAATCGAACCATTTCTCACGATGTGTTTAAACCAAGTCAGCTTGCTACGTTTCACCACTGCCAAGACAGGCTCTTGTCTTACAAATTTGTTGAGTTGAGCCCAGAACTGACATCACAGCATTCGGGGCATTTCCATGCTTGCTCCTTCCTCATCTTCAGCAGCCAGTGTAGCGTTCCAATACTATTGGTACCAGTCACAATCTGGTTATATGTTCGTCGTGCCTTTTCTCTGGGTGTAGTGAGCCGGCCAGAGCCTCTGGCTACACCCAGGTACCTCATTCTCTCCAGGCCATAATTATCATACAATTTTGTTTATTAGGTCTCTGACATAATGTTTAGTGTTATGTTCTAAATAACTAAATGGTAAATATATCTGTAGAATTTGCATTCGAAAGCCTGAATCCGTCCTTCTATTTCCGCACCCGCATGCGTTTTAGGCATATGGTGCTAGGCACTTTTTTTTAAACCAATACTGACTAAAGGGGGCATGCCTTTAAAAATGACACCAGTCACTTTTACCTCCCAAGACTTCACCTGCAACCTTTTTATCCTGAGTCGATCCAGAAACCAAGAAATTTTTGAAAATCATCCGACTGGATGCGGATTTGAACTTACACTCTTCGTGCCCGAGGCGAATGTCTAGCCGCTACACTGCGACGTCTAAAGGGCTTTGTTAAGAACTTGTAATTATGTTCCTTTGTAATTGCTGCTTGTGTGCAGATTGTTGGTTCCTCACCTCTGAGACAGATGCACTCTGACTTTGAAGAGAACACCCATAATTAGTAGCTTTTTACGACATGTTTGTTAGTCTGGTAGTCTTGTCTGGTAGTCTTAGTTTCAGCTTCACAGCAAACGGGTCGCCCCATCTTTGCTCCGCTCCTGTGCCAACGAAAAACACTCCGAATGTCTATCACAGTGCCTTGTGGAAAGATTGACAGACTGCTGTCTCAGCATATCTAGCATACACTCGCATTAAAGCATATGGTAGCCATGCGAAGTGCTAACACAAACAGTGACAACATTAGAAATGCAGTTCATCATTGATTATAGCAGAACTGTGTCAACAGAATCAGCAGTTGTCCGCGTGATCAATTTTAATACGGGTCCCGCAAGCATTGAACGACAGGCATCGCGCCATTTTCTGAATCTACAATTCACACCACCACGTTGGTCACAGTCGAAAAAAAAAAAAACATTCCAAATGCAATCCGCAGTCACAGGGTCACGCCATGCATTCAACTCAGAAGCTGGGCGACGAAACTATATCCAGTCTACAAATGGAGCAAAAATGCATCGGCCACCGTCCGGCAGAAGCAAAAAATTTGCCTCTGTTCCGAACGGCGCCGCTGTCTAGCGTCCATTTTAACCGGAAGTCTGTTAGTGGTTGTTAGTGGCCAGCGGGTCTGTACCCCCCCCCCCTTTCAAGGGGGTCTCAGAACCCACACGGGATATTGCCCCCAACGGGGCTCAAACCCATACGGCGAACTACCCCTAAAGGAGCCGCAAACCCACACGGGGAACTGCCCCCAACGGGGCTACAAGCCCACACAGGGGACTGCCCCCAACGGGGCGAAAAGCCCACACAGGGGACTGCCCCCAACGGGGCCTCAAAGCCACATCCTGCCCCCAACAGGCCCCAGAACCCACACGGGGAACTGCCTCAAATGGACGAAACCCCACACGGGGAGCTGCTTCCAACTGACATGAGAACCTACACGGGGAACTTACTACACTGACATTCGAATCGATCCTTCTCTACAAACAATGTTAATATCTATTCCGATACCTCGGAATGTCCTCACAGTGTGGAACCTTTCAGAGACTTTGATTCAGATATGATTAAACAAAAACACAACGTGCGAATTCAAAAGTTACCAATATTGATGTTCCTCAGACAAAGGATTTGTCTGTCATAAAGATCTGGTAGATCTTTTGTCAGCTAGACATTCTCTTTGCGCGACTTTAGACACATCGGGAAGATCTTTTTGTGTCTCTCCGCTGGATAGCTCTTGTTTGTTCGAGGGGAATTTTTTTCAGAATGTTGTGGTACTGACATCATTGATATTAGGATACTATCTTCTTCTTTTGTTTCGTTGTTGTGGTTGTTTTTGTCTTCTTCTTCTTCTTCTTCTTCTTCTTCTTCTTCTTCTTCTTCTTCTTCTTCTTCTTCTTCTTCTTCTTCTTCTTCTTCTTCTTCTTCTTCTTCTTCTGCTTCTTCTTCTGCTACTTCTTTTCATTTTTAATCCTTTTTTCCTCTTCTTCTGTTGTTCTACCGTCCTTTTTTATTTAATGTTTCGATTATTGCTTTCATTATTTCTTTCTTTCTTTCTGCTACTTCTTTTCATTTTTAATCCTTTTTTTCCTCTTCTTCTGTTGTTCTACCGTCCTTTTTTATTTAATGTTTCGATTATTGCTTTCATGTATTTCTTTCTTTCTTTCTTTCTTTCTTTCTTTCTTTCTTTCTTTCTTTCTTTCTTTCTTTCTTTCTTTCTTTCTTTCTTTCTTTCTTTCTTTCTTTCTTTCTTTCTTTCTTTCTTTCTTTCTTTCTTTCTTTCTTTCTTTCTTTCTTTCTTTCTTTCTTTCTTTCTTTCTGCTACTACTTCTAATTCCCCTTTCATTCCTAGGAGCGACGCAATGACATGCTAGTTATCAAAGACAGAAGGAGTCGTTAGCCTTGTTTTGAGACTTTATCTTTCCAAACACTCTACAAAGTGCTATTTCCGACGGGACTGTACTGCAGAGCCTCCCATCCCCTCTCTGAATTCAGAAACGATTGGCAAGAGAGGTTTTGGAGTATACCACCTTCAAAACTGCATACTGGCATGCACCAAGATCAAGAAAAGAAAAAAATATAAATGGTGTTAGATTTGGCCTACTTTGATATTTTTTAAGCATTACAGAGAGAGAGAGAGAGAGAGAGAGAGAGAGAGAGAGAGAGAGAGTTGGAATAAAACAGTGCCGTAATTACGTTGAAATAAAGAGAATGAAGTAGTTTGCGTAAAGAACAAACAACTTTATGTCGACCTAATTTAAAGTGGGTACCAGAAATGTTAAGGAAGATATTTAACACTTTGAGGGAAACCAAGGCGGACTTTTTAATCAGGTTGCATCTGGTACTACTGGCATTAGACTCTTTGTTAGCTACTAATGAAGGAGACAAAGCACGCAAGGGAATGTCCCGACTGCATTGATATTGGTACTTTAATTTTAATTCACCCAAGACAAAGGAAATTCGAGATTTACGACAACGACCAGTAGTCAAAGCGTGTTATGGTTTGGGGTTAGGTTTCGGGTTATAGTTAGGGTTAGTCCATGCCTCTGCGGCGGTGCGGGGCTGACAGTGATCAGTGTCATTTTCATACTAGAGCACGCATGTGTTCTTATAGTACTAGCCCGCCAATGTTTTCCATAACACCCCTAGAATATTGGAAGTTCCCGGAAACTTCTTGATTTCCTTTGACTGGGATGAATTAAAATTGAATTACCGTGATGTCGATTCTTCATTTCTTTGATTAATTTTCGGGGAGTTAAAACAGAGAGATCAGGCCAAGGTTTGTTTTTTTAACAGATAGTTTCCAGGTAAATACGATGTAGAAGAGCAAAATCAGCATCTCGGTAATGTTAAGTAAGTAAGTAAAGGTAAAGGTCCCTTTCCACGCCTTTAGGCGTATAGGGCATATAGGGCTAGAACTATATTTTTATAGACCAACGGCACAAGATGGGTGATGTGGTAAGCATCACGCAGACCGCCTCTACCTCCCGGGATTGCACCCGGTACCCACTCAAGGCTGGGTCGACCTGGGATCTCGGTAATGTTAAATATTTACACATGACTAGTATTGTCTTTTTTCTTATACGGATGTGAGAGTTGCACTTTCGCTGTGGAATTGAAAGGATGATTCAGGCTTTTGAATGTAAATGCTATAAAGGAATTTTTACAAATTAGATATTTAGAACATAAAACTAATAAATACGTCACAGACAATATAAACAAATTTGTTGAACATCGGGCAGTGAAACGTCGCAAGTTGGTTTGGTTCGGACATGTGATAAGATATAATTTGATTGCAAAGACTGTACTTCAAGAAACACTGGTGCCAAGTCTAAGAAGAGGAGAGCAAAGAAGAATCGGTAATGAGAACATCAAGAAATGGACATAACTAAGTTATCATACATTTGTTCAACAAGCGGAAAAGAGCAAGATGGCTGGTTTGTTCCAACTATATACCACCACGACCCTAACGGGTCAAGGGTTATGTTATGTTTAGAGCGGCTGGGGTGTTTTTCTGCACACATCACCCATTGAGTTGCCGAATTGGATATACAAATGTTGGTTTTGCACAAAGTCCCTAATGCTTTAATGGTGTGAAAAGATTCCTTTTCATTACTTTTACTTTTACATTTACTAAGACTTCACATCCCGACGACTGTATCTATATTATGTGACGTCCGGCTCGCTAACGTGGTTGGTTAAACCTGACTTCGCGGCAATCGGGTGACGAACTCCTTGTGGTCCGGGTTCACGCCCGGGGGTAAGCAGAAAAGCCACATTTCTCCTAGATTTACGGTATTTATCATGGAATCAAGGCCGAAGGACCGAGCCTAAGGGTTAACAACTCATGGTTTCTGGATACTTAAAAAAAAAATCTACTATGTGGCTATCGTTACCTTTAGGGGATTTGGGCTGTTAAGTAACGACAGTTCCGACATCAAAACAAATACGTCATCTCTTTGTTGCTCCGTTCCTGTCCTGAGGAAATCACACTGGTGAAAGAAAATATATCACAGACTGCAGTGTTAACAAAGCCAAAAGCTTGCATATGTATTAAATACATAAGGCAGCCGTCAAAAGTGTCAACACAAACAGTCTGGTTCATCGTCGATGAAAACAGCAGTTACAATAAATCAGTAGTTGCACACGCAATTAATTACGTTAGGCTCCACCAGTTTTCTGCCAAGCGGCTATTCGGCTTTTCTGATCCTGCAGTTCACAATATGAACCATGTTGGGCACTGTCAAAAAGAATTGCGGGAAAAAACCCAGCTCATAGTGTCGCGCCATGCCTTAAACTCAGTATTAGAGTGACGGTCCGTGACGGTCTGGGTTGAAACAAATATGTAATGGGTAAAGATTTTGCTGCATACAAGCCAACTTAGTTTCGTATCCTTTACAAGAAGTTGCAGAACAAACCCCAGCATTTTATGGCTGTTTGTGGTTGCGCTAAGCAGTTTTACGTTCAGCAGTTTGACATTATTGTCCTTAATGTAGAAAAAAGGGCCTTTGAGTTGAAATGTTACAGAAATCATCTCAGAATGCCATGGAAAAAAAAAGAAAAACAATTTTGACTCTACATTAGATCTGAAAATCAAGGAAGATTGGCTAGTAAAGAGCATCTTACCTCGCAAACTAACATATGTTTTGCTACATCAAGCGCGACGAAGGATTAGAAATAAATTTAAAAAAAAATTATATAGCAGAAGTCATGGTACCAAGAAAAAAGACAGGGGCGACTAGCAAGAATATGAACATATGATATAAGCGACATATTAGGTAGGAAAGTTCACGAGGCGAGAGAGCTGGTGAGAAAACGAGTTCCTTTCAGACAGACCGTGTTGAGAGCGACGTTCTGCAAAGAACCTGCTGCATGATGAGTCTGGCATTGCCACTCAAACAATCAGCCCTCGACACCACTGTGGAAACCAACGAAAGGCGGTCTCCTGCCAAATCTTCCGCAGCTGGGATCGAACCTGGCACCGGAGAATTACGAAAAATACAAGCTAATGAAACAGTAAATAAAATGTATTTGCTGAAAACACCCCTATCTCTAAAGCACAAACAGATAGATTGTGCATTTCGTGATATTCAGAAGATTAGGGTTTTTGCCGTGGCATGTGAACAGAGCCTGATGGATACGCAAACAGCCAACATTCAGAGCAAATCCCAAGCGTGAGCTAGGAGCCCCAAAGGAAACCCAAATAAAAAACAAAACAGGAGAGTGGAATAGATGATTTGAAATAAATAAATAACACAGCTTGGAGGTAAATCTGCGTGGTTTTGAAAATGGGGACTGATTGTGCATGCGGCAATGCGCTTCACAGGATTTAGAATTTAAAAAAAAAGAAGGAGAAAGGTTAGGAGAAGATGGAAGTTTGATAGTAAAAAAAGAGTAAAGATCCCTTTTCACGCCTTTGGCGCATCGAGTATATGGGAAGAGCGTCCCATATTTTTACAGACCAATCGCCACTGGATGGGTAATGTGGTCAGCATAACGCCGGCCGTCTTTACCCACCCAGGACCGCCCATCCTGATACCCATTTTAGGCTGGGTCGACCTGCGACGCCCCATACCACGATAAAAATCCACGCAGCCAGCAGTGGGTTTCGATCGCGGTACGTTGGATTACAGTCGGACTCGCAACGCCTTAGCCACCGACGCCGGTTAGTAGTAGAAGAAGAATAAAAAAGGAAGAGAAGGAACTGAATGAGGAGGAGCAGGATGAGGAGCAGTAGGATGACAGGGAGGTGGAAGAGGAAGGAATGGACAGGGCAAAATAAAAGACATTGGATTTGGAATGACATGGGAATTGGAAGGACAAGTGGATTGGCAAGGGACTGGGAATGAGAGGGGAGGAAAATGGCTGGGAAAGGGGAAGAAGAAGCTACGAAGTCCAGAAAAGATGCAAGACAAAAATGAAAATCTAAGAAAAAACGATGGGCGAGGGGACATGCAGTGAAGATGAGAACTGAAGAGGTAAAGCTAAGGTGGGAATCTAAACGCATTTGCAAAAATCATGGGATCTATCAACATTCTTTGTACTGGTTTCCTCAGAAACAAATTTCCTTGGTACTATTTTTCCCCCCTTTAGTTCTTCAACTATCAAGGGAACTTAAACATTCGCGAGTCCCTTATACACATTACGTCCTTATTAGGACGTTATTTTTTGTTATTTGAAGCCCCACTCTGGCTTTTGCCAGGGGCCGCAATATAGGCAGGTCATCATTATGGCCAAATGTCTGAACGCGGTTTCTGGGACCTCTCCAAGGTGATCCCCATCCGCATGGTGGCACTTTGTGTCATCGGGTGTTTATCGCTTGTGTGATGTCCTGGTGGGGTAAAAAGCCAATCCAATCCATGCGCGAGATCATCATCTAGTAAAATCCGTAATGTTGATTTAAGTGCAAAGTAAACTACGGACGTATATCAAAGGATATATCCATCAAGAAATAGACTCAAACTGTAAACTGATCCCTATCTCCCAGTCCTTAAAAAAGAAAACACGACCTGAGCTGAAATGCCATAGAAAGATTCTCAGAATATCTTGGACAAGGAAGAGGAGAAAAACTGACTGCATGTGACGTTAAGTGTTTCGACCAGTTTCCATCCTCTTTGAATGTTGTTCCCGGATATTTAAACATATCAAGAAAAGATATAAAACCGAACGAAAAGTATATAAGCAAGCTTCACAAAATAACAAATACAAACTAAACTTGAACGTTGCGGCTATTAAGCCTTCATCAGCATATACAAATGAAACAATACTACACAGAAACACAAAAGATATTTAAACACAAAAGATATTTAAACTTACACCGAAGGACGGTTATTTTATAAATATAATTTTGGGGGTCTTATTTCATATTTAGTACTCAAAAGTTTTGAGGTTTTAAGATGTTTTTCTTACACTGACAAATAGGTAGACAGTATACCATGACAGTGTCACCTGACACTAGAGGGATGTGTGTATTTTAGATTGAATCCTTTATGTTAAGTTTATGTCAACGTTTACAAAACCTGACATCTCATACTGTACCGGTGATTTCGGGGTAGAGCAGCGCGATAGAAAGTACACTAACCGTATCCTAGGAAAGAGGGAAAAAAAAAAATGAAAACCTAATTTTAAAAAGGTGAAACCTATGTTTATGTTTATTTAACGGATCAGCATCATGGCACACGGGGTGTAACCCATAAATGCTCCGTCTTACTTCTAACTCAAGTCTGAGTCCGAAGAATCTCGGCGCAGTGCACAAACTCGGGTGTTGCACCGGTAAGGATCATGAAATACTATGGGTAGATTTTAAGCTCCAAATTTAAGTTCGTTAAGCTACTCTTTTTGATTTCTAACTGCCAAGGGAGTTTTTAACCAGCGCAACAATACAGACGGGCGTCTGGTCTTACTCTCCAGAGACTAGAGGGTGAAACTAAATCCCTTAGCCTTGTTTGGCATCTGGAATGATACTCTGACAAGCGGGAGAGAGGAAGCGAGAGAACACTGCTCTTCTGATTTGGTAGCTTCTGCAGTATTCTTTATTCCAAACTCATTGATGTTGAAATTATGCATCTTAAGTTTAATACTGAATTTTGAATTAGGAATCGACATCACAGCACCTGAAACACTCCCATAAGCGCTCCGTCCCCATTTTCAGCAGCAAGCGAGTTCTAATTCCGGTGTCACCAGTAACGGTTTGATTGTATATCCGTCTCGCCTTTCCCCTGAGTGCTGAGCGCCTTGTAACTCTCCGCAGCGCTATTCTCCCCAGGTCGTAATGATCTATTTGTGCCTCCACACTGCTCAATCGCTCACAAAGAGCCCTCACAACATCCAGCTGGTCATACATCAGTTCACCACCAAGCGGTGCAGAACCGGCCAGTCTATCTGTCTGCTAATTTCCCAACACACATGCATATTTCATGTGTTATCTGAAATACTACAGAAAAGTTTTTTTTTTTTAAATAACATTTACCAATAAGAAGAAAAACACCAACACCCAACACGATCTGAACATCCGGGAGAATTGCCCCAAATACAGCAACTGTTCTGTTTGTTTGTTGTTTGTTTTAGTATCCAGAAGCCATGAGTTGTTAACTCTTAGGCTCGGTATTATGGATATCGCTACCTTTCGGCCTTGATTCCTTTGTAAATACCGTAAATCTGGGAGAAATGTGGCTTTTCTGCCTACCCCCGGGATTGAACCCGAACCACAAGGAGTTCGTCACCCGGTCACCGCGCAATCCGGTTTAGCCAACTACGCTAGAGAGCCTGGCAAGCAACTGTTCTGAAAGCTACGATGTTTCGACAATGTTTAACAACCACAATGTCCTGCAGAGGGATAGTTAGGTTTCATAAAAAACATACGAACAGTGAGGATACAAGACACTGAATATGTTTTGGCCATGAAAGCACATAGAGTTGTAGAATTGGCCAGTTAAGGGTACTTTAAGACGTGCCGTGAAGAGAGCGACGTTCTGTAAAGGACATGTTAATTCATGAGGACAGGTGTTACTTTTCATTTGGAGTTACCAACTCAGGCTAAGCTAGTCTATATGCAACAAAGGTAGGCCATTATCTCTGCAAATCTCCATAGGCTTTGTGTTATCGATAGCTGGAGCTGAGAATGAAAGTCGTCCCCATGGGGGATGCAATTTTTCGTTATCTGAAGCCCCACTCTGGTTTTTGCCGAGGGCCCTGAATATAACAGGGCTATAAATATTGCCTAAAGGCTAAAAAGGGGTTTCTGTGACCTCTCCACGGGTGATCCTCATCCGCATGGTGGCACTTTATGTTACTGGGTGTTTATCGCTTGTGTGATGTTTTGGTGGGGTACAGCAAGAGAGAGAGAGAGAGAGAGTGAGAGAGAGAGAGAGAGTGTGAGTGAGAGAGAGAGAGAGAGAGATAGAGAAAGAGAGAGAGAGAGAGAGAAGATGTGGGGACTGACTCTCTTGTGCCTCTCTTAAGCACAATTTAATACTATCATCTGAACGGTTACAAGGTGCCAATGATTGTGTTTTATATGCTATAGTCATGCAACTGGTGAGGTACAACAAAGTAATCTACACAGTAAATTGTGTGATACATCGTTATATTCATCATCATGTAACATGTCCCTTTGGAGAACGTCGCTTTCGTCACTGTCTTTCTGAAAAAAACTCGGTCCCTAACCAGCTCTCCCGCCTCCTGCAGTTTCATATCCAAGGAGTCATTTATATCCTGTGCCAATCTTTGTGTTGGCCAACCTTTGCCCCTCCTACCTGGTTCCATATCTTCTGCTACAATTTTGTTTTTCCAATCCGCTGTGTTGCTTGGTCTGTTTTTTAATTCACGTTATTTAGATGGAAATATATGTTTAATATTTGTTATATCGGCTTTTAACTTTTATTATTGTGTTGTTTTTAAATACAAATTTTGTTTTTTTTAAATCTTTTTACACCGATTTGACTACCTTCTTAACCTGTTATTTCAGTGCTAATCAATACTGAAACTCATAAACGTAAATAATATCTCATCTGTATATTCCGTGCACCAGACTTTTGATCGCCCATAATTGCTGTCTTTCTTGCACTTTACGGACCCAACTGGTCATTACTTCAATCAGTACTTTAGTGCTTAGTTTCATGGCTCACTCAGACTTGTCATTAAAACCGTGGATCCAGTTCGCTTCTGACGCCATCAAAGTATACAGATCATCGCCCGAACTATACTCATAAAATCTATACCCAAAAGTATGAATAGAAAAACATACAACTGAAAATACTAGTCAATCTTTTAGAATGTCGTAAAGTCGTAAACACGAAGAAGCTTGGTTTTGTTCTCAGACTCAAATCTCTAAGAGAGACTTCACTATAAAACTATCAATGACAAAAAGGCAATTCGGTTTTATATTTTATTTGCAGAAATGGTACCTTAGACCGCTCGGTAAAATTTACGACCTTGTTTCTATGAGATCTTAAGACGGTATTAGCTTTGACTTTAATGCAATGGGTCTGGCAGTTGAGTAATTTAGAGTTCGACAAGGGAACAGTTGTTAAAAAGAATATGATATATCTTTGGCGTCGATGTTATAAATCTACTGTAGATAGTAACTTTGACTGCAGGGAAATTATATAATATAAATGTGAACATCAAACACGGAAATGTCGTTTTCTGCTTCTGCCAAGGATCTGTGGCAGCTTTGGTTATAGACAGGTATATACGCCTGATCGATAGTTTGGAAGCAGCGCAGCCCGACACGTTATTTGCAATGAACTCACAGAGCATGGGTTGGAAAATTGAACCTGGCGGTAATATTTAGAGATGGGAATGAGGGGAAACGGACATTAAAGTTGTCTGACTAATTGTAAGTGATGTTTCAGGAAAATTAAATGGTGTTTTCTCTTTCCCATTAGCATCAAAAACATGAATATAACGACCAGAAAACAAAATTAACTGTTGTAAGTTTACAGTGACCTTCCTCAACTATTTTTCTTTTTTTTTTCTTTTCTTCATTTTTAAGCACTTCGGGTTTCTCTATGTTTTAAACATTTAGACTTGTTTAGAAGATGTTTCAATTCCTCGTTTCAATTTCAGTTTTTGGGAGAAATAATTCGTGTGCTCTTCATGAAAGACATTATCTGTTGTGTTTTTTTTTTTTTAAATGCTCTTGTGCTTTGACAATTAAAGAGCCTATCTATTCCAGCTGCATGCAGAATGTAAATTTTTTTAATCAATCATTTGATAATTTATAGTGAGGGTTTGGACAGGCCATTTATCCTGTCCGTTTGGACAGGCCATTTATCCTGTCCGTTTGGACGGGTCATTTATCCTGTCCGTTTGGACAGGCCATTTATCCTGTCCGTTTGGACAGGCCATTTATCCTGTCCGTTTGGACAGGCCATTTATCCTGTCCTTTTGGACAGGCCATTTATCCTGTCCGTTTGGACGGGTCATTTATACTCAAGAACTGGACAGTCTTTTTTTTTTTTTCTTTTTTTTTTTCAGTTTTTCAGAATAAATTCAGTCAGTTTTGGTTATTTGATTTCTGTTCTGCAGTCTGGGCAGATACTTTATCAGCATTTTATATTCAACAAATTATAGTCAAATGTGGATATTTTTTCCCCCTCCATTTTGGACATCTTTTTTGTCAATTTTTGACATCCTTTGTTGTCTTTTTTGGACACAGTGTTTAGACTATTTCAAGTGTTAAAGGGGTAATAGAGGATACAGTTTACGGAAATGAAGCAGCAGCAGACTTCAGCGAAGGTGCAGTCAAGGCACAAATGATGAAATAGCAATGAAAGCACATTGGGCTGGAGAATTAACTGAGAAATAGAGACGTTCAGACTTGCCGTAATGAAAAGCAACGTTCTGTAAAGGACCCAGTGATTGGTAGTGATGATGATTTTGTTTTCTTTCTTGTGAGTTGGGGGGGGGGGGAGTGGGGTGGCAGGTGAAATACCTGTGTACAACTGATTTATAGTCAAATTGTTACCAACAGTTTAGTTTGGGCTTTGAGGTTTGAGCAACGGATCAACATCTTGGCACACGGGTAGTAACCCATAAGTGCTCCGTTCTTTCATCTAACTCAAGTATGAGTCCAAATTAGCTCAGCACAGTGCACAGGCTCTGTAGCTCCGGTGAGGATGCTGAAATACTTTAGGTAGAATTTTAACTCCAAATTTTGCCAAGGTAGCGCCGTTGGGCTACTCTTTTCGATTTCCAAATGTCAAGGGATGTTTTACGTGCGCAACAATGCATACGGGCGTCCGATCTCACTACCCAGATACCAGAGAGAAATACTAGAAGTCCAGGTCCACGTGAAAAAAATCCCAGTCCTTACCGAGGATTGAACCCAGAACCTCTAGCACTCGAGGCGAACATCATGCCTCGAGACCACGCAACTCCCTTGTATTCATTAGTTTAGACAGGGAATTTGTCAACATGTTTTGTACAACAAATTTAAACTTTCTGCATCACACGTCGGCTACAATGGATAACTAGCACACTCTGTCACTTGACCTCTCAGATGCGGTTCGTCCATCTCTGAATGTCCCTCTCCCTACCCTTTCACCCACCTTCCAACCCCACAGCAACCCCCTTCCGCCGTATCGCTGTCAACCTCTTGCTTTCGACTTTTCACTCCAGTATGATTTTTAAGTCTCTTATCAGTTCTCGTTATTTCAGAGAGGACTTTCCATGCTTTCCTGTCCTGTGCAATCTTCAATGCAGTTTTCCATGTCAAAGATGCCACACTCAGGTTACTTTCCATCGTTCGTCTCTATGAAAAAGAATTGCATTTTAAAATAGTAGATTATATTTTACATGATAAAATGAGAAAGGATTGCATTCTAAAGTTGTAGGTTTTATTATAAATGGTAAATTAAGAAGAAGAATTGCATTTTAAAGTAGTAGATTATATTATTCATGATAAAGTGAGAAATGATTGCATTCACAAATTGTAGATTTATTAACATTATTAAAATAAAAAAAAGGATTGTATTCTAAAGTTCTAGGTCTTATTATAAGTAGTAAAGTAGGAAAAGGATCACCTTCTGAAGTTTATTATATATGGTAAAGTAAAAAAAGGATTACATTCTAAATTTGTAAGTTTTTTTCAAATAGTAGAAATAAGGACTCTTTTCACGTCACTGGGGCTTCATGTATATGATGCTTAAGTGTCTTTTTTTTTAAAACCAGTCGCCACTTAATAAATAGGTAAACATCACGCCGGCTAATGTAAATGATTGAATCACTAATTGATACAACATTCCCTCACCTGCTCCGTCCCCTTCTTCAGTAGCCAAAGAAAGAGTCGATCCAGAACCTTTAGTTACCATCCGCTGTTTTTATCTTTCAGTGTGTAGATTCCCTGTCTTTTCTATTGCACTGTCCATTTGCTCTAGAGATCAGCGGTTCCCAACCTCTGGATAGCGACCCTTTTCTCGGTCGCAACCCTTCAACAGAGCCCGCCTAAGACCATCAGAAAACACATATTCACTGAAGTTATAAAGTAGCAACGAAAATAATTTTATGGTTGGGGGTCACCAGAACATGAGGAACTGTATTAAAGGGTCACGGCATTAGAAAGTTTGAGAACCACTGCTATAGATCCTTCACCACGTTCGCTTAATCATAAAATTGCTCACCGCCCAGAGGGGCGGCAGCTGCTTATCTATCAGCCTGCGCGTATAGTCACACATCCTAATCTCCTGGTCTACCGTATATGATATGAAATGAATACCTCGTGCAGTAAAGAAAAGACTCACTAACTGCCCCTCCCATCCCCCGACAAGCATGTCGTATGAGGCGACTAAATGGGTGTTTACTTCAAAGTCGAAGTGCACCTGAATCTGACTACCAAAAAGGAATAGACGTACAACCACCCCCCCCCCTTTTTTCCTGCGACAAGCATGTCGTATTGGGCAACCAATAAAGAGTAGAACCAGTGCCCGCCCCCTCCCGACAAGCATGTCGTATTAGGCAACCAATAAAGAGTAGAACCAGTGCCCGCCCCCTCCTGAAAAGCATGTCGTATTAGGCAACCAATAAAGAGTAGAACCAGTGCCCACCCCCCTCCCGACAAGCATGTCGTATTAGGCAACCGATAAAAAGTAGACCTACTGCCCCCCCCCCACCCGACAAGCATGTCGTATCAGGCGACTACAATGGTGTTTACCTCAAAGTCAGTGCAGCTGCATCTGAGACAGGCAACCAAAAATCTGCAGACTAATAAATAGGATCTGTAAAACAATTTTGTAAGTTGTCAATTTTAGATTTTAATTTAGATTTAGACAACGGATGCGGCGTCCGTAGCTTAGGCGTTGTGAGTCCGACTAGTAATTCCAACATACCGCGATCGAAACCCACTGCTGGCTGCGTGGATTGTAATCATAGTATGGGGCGGAGCCAGCCTAAAATGGGTACCATGATGGCTGTCCTGTGGAAGTAAAGACGGCAGGCGTAGTGCTGACCACATTACCCAACTAGTGCCGATTGGTCTGTAAAAAATATGGGTGTCCCTTCCCATGTGCCCGATGCGCCTAAAGGCGTGAAAAGGGATCTTTACTTTAGACAACTGGTCAACATTATAGCAAAGAGGTAACCCATAAGTGCTCAGTTCTACTTCTGATTCAAGTCTGAGTCCGAAGAATCTCAGCTCAGTACACGAACTCCGCAGCACCAGCGAAGAATCTGAATTAAAACCAAAGTCCACAAGAGGACGAGTAAGTAGGACATTCCATCGAAGTTTACAGCCGGTGAACGCGAAGAAGAAGAAGTAGAAAATACCCCTTGAATTTGTGAAGATCCACAGTTTACCAAAAGTAAAACAGAGGTCCGAGGCTTTCCTTGCAGTTTCCTTACAAACTATATCTCTGCTGCCATTTAATGATAGGGGATACATCAAGAAAATAGAATATAATATACAACGAATATACACATGAGAAATGAGACGGCAGCCAGCAAAAACAGGCCAGACATGGAGAGAAAACTGAAAATGAATGAGGAAATCAGAATAAGACACATGTAAAAATTATGCTGTATCAATGAATCGTTAGATGCATTGATTCCTGATGGGTAAAAAAAATATTCCCTATGGAAATCAAATGGATTTCTGTGTTAAGACCTGCTCGTCTGTCCGGATACAGTAAACGAAGTGCCTATTTATCCGTCTTAGGGCATGCAGGAAATATGAAGATTGGTGAATAGTGTTATAACATTATTCGTATTTACTGAGTGATGTGGTCAGTATAGCGCAGGGTCGCGTTTACTTCACTAACTATTTTATTATCATCA